TCATTTGTGAACATCACTTTGGTTTAAAAGTGTGATGTCAATATCAATGCTTTATCTATTCTTCTTTCAGTCGCGCTGTACTGCCAAGGGGGCAAAATTGGTTGAGATTCAAACAGACAAGGAAGCTTCATTCATTATGAGTAACCTGCCGAGTCGTGTTGGTGAGTAACGTTGATATCATTGCCTTAAATAACTCATCCACTTTATTATTCAAAATAAATGTTCATATCCTTGTAAAGTAAGTAGTAGGAGATACGTTATTTTAGCTCTTTCCTATAAATATAAACGTTATATATGACAAAATTCATGAAACTTATATTAACCACTCTTGATTGCCTGGATAATAGCGGACCATGTGTTTTATGTTATAAACTTGTTTTTTGTATTTTACAAGTCGAATCCTATAAATATCTACCTTAATATTATCTATGACAATGCACCTTTTACTTAATATGTCAATACAGAGTAAGATCTGTCCAAATCAAGTATACAACTTTTTTTCACCCTTCTAATATGTAACACACTTTCTTATTGGATATCTTGCCGGGGTATATATTTCTATAGACCCCACTCTGCCGGGGTCTTTAGCTCTGCCGGAATCTATAAAAGCACTTGCAAGGGGAGAAAACTTAAAATATAATCTCTCGTCATAACAACAAAGATGGCGTCCGACACACACAAGCGTTTGAGGTTTGCCAATCATTTACAGGATGATAATAGCCTACAAGCAATCTAAACGACATTTAATTCAACGAAAAGGGCAGTGAGGGGCCGCTCGGGTGCTAATTACAAAGATGGTTGAAATATTGCCGAAAATGTGTCCTGTAGGGGCTATTTCGAGTAGCTATTAAGTATAATTTTGCAGGAAAAATAAGCAAAAAAAATGACCTTTGACTTGATATATCTACTTAAGAGTGTGAAGGTTATTTCCCATAAACTATCCAGTTGGTGTACGATTATGTTAACAAATAAGTGTGTGAATTAATTCTATTTATACATTAATTTTTATTCTTTTCTCGGAATTTTGGGCTGAAATTAACATGTTCGTATATGTTATAACGTTTTAATCAAAATAAAACCGCGAATTGCTTTAACAGAAATACGTCACGACGTCACAACATTCCATTGAACGTAAAAATAAGGATTTGTTAAGCACTAATCGCGGTTTCAACCCCAAGGAATTTCAACAGAACATGATTCAATCATTACGTGAACTTAATGAATTTAAAAATAAACAAGTATGAAGCTTATACAGTTGTGTGACCGCACAACGCACCAAAATTAGCGTTCGCACACCTTGCATACATCGTTCACACACCGTCCGCACATCGTCCACACATGGTGCGCACAACTGTGCGATTTAGCAATCGTTCGCCCCGTTGTGCGCTTCTCTCCGCACAACTGTGCGATTTGGTATCATTTGTAGATCAAAATTACGGAACGACAAAAATACGGAGGCTCGTATGCGATAATGTACACTGTAAATATCTGAAATTTCTCATCACAATAATCAAGATTATACAATTTCACAATGCGTGTTACACAGTATTACAGCGACCGTTAGGCTGTCAAGAATGGGTTTGGC